CTACCCCCTTTCGAGGCTTAGCCTCCTCACTGGCACACCGTCTCGTGTCCATCTCCTTCAGGGCTCAGCGGCCTCATTGGCAAACCGTCCAATGTCTGGCTGATATCATTTGTAACAACCCCAACCCACCACTAGCAGATATTGTCCTCTTTGGGCTTTCCCTTTTGAGTTTCCCCTCAAGGTTTTTAAGACTCGTTTTAAAAACCTTGAGGTGAATTCCAAAAGAGAAAGCCTAAAGAGGACAATATCTCTACTAGCGGTGGGCTTGAGCTGTTACACAAGGTTTCCCTAAAGTTATGATCAAGTATCTATACGACAAGTTGCAAACAATTGACTAAGACATTCTTAATGTGCAGATAGTTGGAGCATCTTTATTTGGCATTTTCCTCTCCAAGTACGACCCAGTAACTTGCTTGAAGTTCGCTGCAGGTTTAATGTTATGGTCCTTGCCAGTTGTGGTAATTACTTATTTCCGTGCTGATGAGATCTTTCTCGAGAGGTAAATTTGTTAATCGAACACATTTTTTCAGGTTGTACTTACATGGTTAACGAACCAACTCTCCACCGGTGTTCTCGATCGTGCAAAATGCTCACAAACTTGTTGTAGCAATCCCTCTAAAGTAAACTCGCCTGATGCTGAGAGTATAAGTAAATTTTCATGAACCATTATGCTATTCAATCAATAGGCCGTTCTGATACATTCTTTTTTCTAACATTATCTTTTGTGCTTCCAGTGGATGTGGGTGTAGAAGTTATTAAAAATGGATGGAAGGAATACTTGCAACAACCAGCTCTTCCTGCAAGCCTTGCCTATGTGCTCCTCTACTTCAATGCAGTCCTCGCACCGGGAAGTTTGATGACGGCGTTCTTAACTCAGCAAGGTATATTCATTGCTGCAAGCTCGATACAATCATCATATTTTTAAGTTCGTTCTGCCAAGCAGATGTAGCTTCAACGCGCACCCACCTTTTGTTGGACCACTCGACCGATAGGGAAAGGGGCGCTTTGTTTTCGTTTTCTTAACGCCTCATTTCCCTTTTCCCGGGCACTTCGTGGTGTCCCGAAAAATGTTAACTTCTATAATCCATAGGATAAAACAGCATCTTGAGTGAAGCAAAGAGCGGTTCTTTCTATTGCTTTTTAGCGGATGTAGGCGACAAAAAAGGTAGCTTCGTTGAAGTGGAATAATCTTTTGGTCTAGTGAGCGTTTAGTTTTGTTATCCGTATAAAACCTTAGCTAGATTGCATAACGAATTGCTATACATCATATAATTTTGTCCCGTCGTCCCTTGACGAATCATAACTTCACACGACCTGCTTTCTGATTAGTTGTTCTTTGGCTTTTGATTGGTGTAACATACAGGACTTAGCCCATCAATTATTGGTGGTTTTAGTGGACTATGTGCTTTCATGGGTGTTACTGCAACCTTTGTATCAGCAAATTTGGTCAGGCAATTCGGAATTTTGAAGGTTAGACACGTTTTCTTCTATTATCGTTCTCGTAATTCCGTGCAGTTCTATATTTTCGACATAGTCTCATGCACTTCATAGCTTCATTTGTCAGGCTGGAGCAATTGGATTAATATTTCAAGCTGCACTTCTAACAGTTGCTGTTGCTGTGTACTGTAGTGGCTCTCTTTCCCAGCAGAGCCCTCTTCTTTTCTTCTTATCTATGATCGTAAGAATCAGTTCCTGCTGCTATTAGCTCAAAATGTGTCGCATCAGATACTCATTTCATATTTTATACAGGTTCTATCTAGGTTGGGACACATGTCATATAATGTTGTGGGGCAACAGATTCTTCAAACTGGGATTCCGACATCGAAAACAAATCTCATTGCATCAACAGAGGTTTCGGTCGCTAGTTTAGCGGAGTCGATAATGTTGGGAGTTGCAATAATCGCCAACGATACTTCGCATTTTGGATTTCTAGCAATGCTGTCGCTTCTATCTGTTGTTGGAGCAGCTGTGATGTTCTGCCAGTGGTTGTTGAATCCTACCGATGAACAAAGAAAACTTTTCTCTTTCGGCTCTCCGTTCGAGGTAAGTACGAATACTCAGCTAAAATTCATCAAAGCAGTTAGTATTATTAAGAACAAGGGAGTGTCATCACTGTCGTGTAGATATCACATCAAGAACTCTTTGTTGAATAAGTTCAGATTGATTTTCATACAAGAATAGTTAGATCTGCAGTAGAAGAATTTTCATACATAAAGTAATTAGTTCTGTCATAGAAGAGAAGATTATAACTAAAGGGTACTCATGAAGGTTGCACTATTGAAGCCTCCTGAGAAGTAGCTGTTGTTTAGCTAAAATTCTTTACTCTCGAGCCAATTCCGTCCCTGTTGGTAGAGGCGGGAAAGAAAAACTGTAACAGCCCAAGCCCACTGCTAACGGATATTGTCTGCTTTGGTTTGTTACGTATCGCCGTCAGCCTCATTGTTTTAAAATGCGTCTACTAGTAGAGAGGTTTCCACACCCTTATAAAATGCTTTGTTCCCCTCTCTAGTCGATGTGGGATCTCACAATCTACCCCCTTGAGAGCCAGCGTTCTCGTTGGCACATATCCCGGTGTCTAGCTCTGATACGATTTGTAATAGCCCAAGCCCACTGCTAATAAATATTGTCTGCTTTAGCCCGTTACGTATCGCCATCAGACTCACGGTTTTAAAACGTGTCTATTAGGGAGAGGTTTCCACACCCTTAAAAGAATGCTTCGTTCCCCTCTCCAGCAGATGTGGGATCTCACAATCCACCCACTTTGGTGGCCCAACGTTCTCGCTGACGCACCGCCTGGTGTCTGGCTCTGATATCATTTGTAACAGCCCAACCCCACCACTAGCAGATATTATCCACTTTCATTCGTTCGTCAAGAATGTTTCGTTCCCTCCTCCAGTCCAACCCCACCTATACTAGGGAGAGATTTTCACACCCTTATAAGGAATGTTTCGTTCCCTCCTCCAGCCGAAAGATGAAATTGATCAAAGAAAGAATTCCACGGATTCATAGATAGTATACCACCTTGTAGGAATAGGAAGCTCGTTAACAACCCCTAAGGAGGCAAGACGAGACATCTTGGCGACCAAATGTTATAGAGTCAAACAGTCGTTTGATAAGATTAGTTCAGTGGGCCAAACACTCACGTATAGATATGCTTTTAGCGACATAATCCTTTCAATGAAATTCTCAAAAGCCCTGAGGGATATGATAAGACACTAAAAGTAACATTTGGTAGTAACTTGAGATATCGATTATTGTTTAATGATGCCTGACAATACATTCAATGGCAGATGCCTTGATGCTAAAGCGGTTTCTTGCATTAGCTGGAGCTGCTGGATTCTGATACATAGGACACAAATTAATATGTAAATTGGAAGGTGAAGTTCATACCATCCTCTGTTTTATCATTCATATAATTTTGTGGGTAATGAAACAACCCATATTTCAAACGCTAGACTAGATTCAATATCAATTCTGACACTGTACATACATGTTCTGTTCATCATGTAAAGCAATCAGTTGATTTAAGTTTGAATGCTTTTTCCTGAAATGGTGTGGAGAATCTTTTAGTGAAGCTCCATTTTAACAAAAGAAAAGTAAAGGAAACAAGAAAAAGAAAGGTCCAGAACCCACTAATGAATCATGATGCTTTTTTCTTTTTGGATTGGACATAGCAAAGATTACCGAACTATTGACTGTTCGTTGTTCTTCATCGTGTTCTTGCATAGTAAATCATCGTGATTTGGAAAAATACTGAGAAATTTGAGTTATTGACCGAAGATGTTCGGTTTCTCCAAAGATTATAGAACGGTTGACTGTTCATTGTTCTTCTTCTCATTCTTGCACAGTAAATCATCATGATCTGGAAAAGTACGAGAAATTTGAGTTTTTGGGAAAGTTTGGATCAACCGAAGATTTTTGGGTTCTCCAAAGATTACGGAACTGTTGACTGTTCATTGTTCTTCATCTCATTCTTGCATAATAAATCATCATGATCTGGAAAAATACTGAGAAATTTGAGTCGACCGAAGATTTTCGGTTTCTCCAAAGATTGCATAATTGTTCATTGTTCATTGTTCTTCATCTCATTCTTGCATGGTAATCGTCATGATCTGGAAAAATACTGAGAAATTTGAGTTTTGGGGAACGTCTGAATCGACCAAAGATTTTCGGTTTCTCTAAGATTACAGAACTGTTAGACTATTCATTGTTCTTTATCTCATTCTTGCATAGTAAATTATCATGATCTGGAAAAATACTAAGAAATTTTAGTCGACCGACGATTTTTGATTTCTCCAAAGATTACAAAACTGTTGATTTGTTCATTCTTCTTCATCTCATTCTTGCATTGTAAATCATCGTGATTTGGAAAAATACTGAGAAATTTGAGCCTCCAAAGTCTGAATGGACCGAAGATTTTTGGTTTCTCTAAAGATTACTGAACTGTTGACTGTTCATTGTTCTTCATCTCATTCTTGCATAGTAAATCATCATGATCCGGAAAAATACTAAGAAATTTGAGTCGAACCGAAGATTTTCGGTTTCTCCGAAGATTATAGAACTGTTGACTGTTCATTGTTCTTCATCTCATTCTTGCATAATAGATCATCATGATCTGGAAAATTACTGAGAAATTTGAGTCAGTCGATCGAAGATCTTCGGTTTCTATTTAGCTGACAGCAAGAACTTAGAGTAGCTTTTGTGCTGGCGTAATTCCATTTCCATGCATGTTCTATCTTCTTCATCTGATATATCTGTACAAAGATTACTGTTGCTTGATGGTAACCATCAAGCGCCTAAATTGTACCTTGTTTATTAAATTTCTCTTCTCTGGTTTCTGCTGCTTTCATGATCTGAAAGTTCAGGATGAGTGGCCACTTACACTCCAGTTTCTTAGTACTGGACAGTGCCTTCTCCTTGTACTATACTTGTCCTTGCCCATTTTGGCATTTATTTGGACCGGTAGTCTAGTCTAGCTCGTTAGCGGACGTCTTATCTATTCTCCTCTCGATATCGGGTCTTGCCCTATTGTCGAGTTGTCAAATCGAGACTTATCTCTTGGTATTAGCTACTGCAACCAACACGCTCTATCTAGAGAGTCGTTCGTGATTTCCTTCTTGAACAGGCAGCTAAGAGGTCTTGTTTGAGTGGGTAGAAGAAGGCAGGGTAGTCTAGTCTAGTCTCGTTAGTAGACGTCTTGTTTATTCTCCTCTCGATATTGGGTCTTGCCCCGTTGTTGAGTTGTCAAATCGAAACTTGTCTCTTGCTATTAGCTACTGCAACCAACACGCTCTATCTAGAGAGTCGTTTGTGATTTCCTTTTCGAACAGGCAACTAAGAAGTCTTGTTCGAGTGGGGGGTTGTCCATAGGTAGAAGAAGGCAGGGTAGTCTAGTCTAGTCTCGTTAGTAGACGTCTTGTTTATTCTCCTCTCGATGTCGGGTCTTGCCCCGTTGTCGAGCTATCAAATCGAGACTTGTCTTTTGCTATTAGCTACTGCAACCAATACACTCTATCTAGAGAGTCGTTCGTGATTTCCTTTTCGAACAGGCGACTAAGAGGTCATGTTCGAGTGTGGGGTTATCTGTCGGTAGAAAGAAGGCAGGGTAGTATAGTCTAGTCTCGTTAGTGGACGTCTTATCTATTCTTCTCTGGATATCGAGTCTTGCCCTGTTGTCGAGTTGTCAAATCAAGACTTGTCTCGTGCTATTAGCTACTACAACCAACGCACTCTATCTAGAGAGTCGTTTGTGATTTCCTTCTCGAACAGGTGGCTAAGAGGTGTTGCTCGAGTGTTGAAAGAACGAAACTCCTACTCTTTGCAGGGTATATGATCAACAAGTCGGACAAACCCGACCGCAAAGCCATCAACTCTTCTGGGTTAGCCTTTTCTTTTTCTTTTCCACTCAGTGCTGGTGATAGAAAAAGGAAGGAGGTCAGCTTATTCTCCTTTATGCAATGGAATCTACTTTTTTATATTTTTATTTCATTCTTTGAAACCCATTCTTTTAGAACCCAAAATCTCAATCCCAATTAGAGCGTAGAGTCGTAAACACGCTCGGTTATTTCCACAGTAGATTGAAATGACAAGACAGATCAAACCATTGACCAAAATACTAAAAAGCCGACCAACGTGGTAGAGAAAAGCAATCTAAATGTCAAATCTATATCAAAATTGATGTTGAGTACGTATTTACGTGCTTGGTTATTTTTGATCTGACGAGGTCTAAATTGATATCGAGTACGTGTTTACATGCTCGATTATTTACAATCTAAAACTAAATCAATTGAGTTGATTGGAATGATGAGACAGATCAAACCATTGACCAAACTACCCAAAATCGACTGATTTTCATGTCAAATTTATATCAACATTGTGCCAAACTTGATGTCGGGTATGAGGTAGAAATTATGTGGTTATCCGTGGATAGCGTACCGTCTCGAAAATATCGGGTTTCTGCACAGAACCCCACATTTTTCATATCATCAAAAGAGAGTCCCAAGCGTACTTCTTCACATTTGGATTGGCTTTTGAAGTCCTAAGCACAAGGGCCAAGACGTAGAACCCAAGTGCGTGCATTGGCCGTTGGGTAGCGGCTCGTAGCACTTGGCCTCGTAAGCCTACAAAGCGCACCACAGCCACAGCCATGCCCGCACGTGCATCTTTTTTTTTTTTTGCTTTTATAATTCCATTTTATTTATCCCAATAATCTTTGAATTCAACCGTTTTGTATTCAATACAATTTTCATTATATATATATATATATATATATATATATATATATATATATATATATATATATATATATATATA